AAAACAAGCTCAATCTCTTGACGTGATGGTGAGCTGGGTTGCAGAAAATACGATCAATTCTGCTACCATTTCATGTATTAACCTCATGTACACAAGTGAGCTTTTTCGCGTTCGTATACGGTATGATGAATTGAATCTTGTGCAATTACATTAAGGCTATCCATAAGTGCATTATGTGTAACTGAAATCCTGTAGCTAAACATTGTAACATATTTCTGACAATACCCCATTCTACACAATCTTGACACATTCCAACTACTACGTTATGGTTCCATCGTTTACTGCACACGAAGTTCCCGCGTAGTGTATAGTGGAGAGGGTGCATTGAGCGTAGAGTTGCCCAGGATATCCCTCCTAGGAAGAGGGATCGACCTGACGTTTGTGAACGTCGATGTCTGATGGGGCCCTTGGGGCAGAGGCGTGGTGTCGTCGACGTAATGGCGGCAGCTGGATGAGACCTTCGTCGTTAAACCAAGTGGGGTTTAGGTCGGGAAAGATTACTCGAAAATCTCGTTTTGGTGGCTGGGCGTGGAAATGGAAACGCTGTGGGGGCTGCATTGCAGAACTAGGGGCCGGTGTTCTGGGTTGATCGTGAACCGGCCTAAGATCTGGCTGCCCTTGCGTCCCCTGATTGCTTGTTTGCCCTTGAGGTAGGCACATTCTAGCATCCATATCGTCTTTGAAACTAGGACCAACGGCACCTTCTGCTATGTGTGTGGCGACCCCTGTGTTTTGAGCCGCGGTAGAAGTCTACGATAGTTATGTAGCCAGATGGTTAGATAGAACTCCATTTCCTTGTAGAACAGGGTAAGGAAGTCAAACCTTATAAATCCCATCCGAACCTTTTGCTTCCTGCATTTCTTTCGACACTGGGGTTTTTCCTTTGTCGTTTCGTCCCTGTTTTTCCTGGCTCCCCTGAGTGGTATAGGGAACGGCACCGGACGTCATGGGAACTTGGTTCGGCAACTTGTATGGGGTTATGAGAGCCTTTATCTCGCGAAGCACTGGATTGGTGTCCCACATCGAGGAAGGAATACCACCAGTTTTCTCTCCTCCACTACACGTCTTTGCCAACAGAGTGGGTGGTCCTGGTGCACTGCCAATTATCTGAGTGCCGGCTTCTCGGTAGGCATCACAAAGGAAGTTCCGGCGGATTGGACGTAAATTCTCCTGCCTGAATTTCCAGCTTGAGCTCTGGTGAGGCCCACCTTCGGCACCATCGTTTTGGGCATTTTCGTCCCTGGACATCTGGCTCGTGATACCAGGGGGACGAGGGAGTGAATCTTGTTTATCCTGCATTCCACCGAGAAGGCCTTGCTTGTGTTTCTTTGTGGCGGACAGTGGGTTGTGAAGGAAGGGGTGAGTGGAGACGTTTCGGGCTCTCAGGGGAGGTCAAGTTAGTCTGGTTGGGTCAAGTGAAAATTCTCGTTATCTGGGGGCTGGGCGCAAACAATCAGGAAAGATTGCTGACACGGCTCGCGTCCACTCTGAAGCGTTCTCCTTGGCTCCACATGGCCTTTGGTATTCGTTAACGGGACCACATATGAGTAATGACCTTTTCATAATTTAAAAAAAAAGAATTTGGTTATAGAGGCATATGATCTCCATAACCTCTATCACGCAACGCAATCTACCTCAACTTCCAACGCCAAAAAGCTCATGGGGAATGCTCGGTCGACGATTGAAACTTGCCGCAGGAGAAACGAGTGGTGTACGCCATGCCAAACACTACCCGTTTCTCAACCTTAATGGCAAGAGAAGGTTAGCATTCCCATACATTAGTTATTAGGGACATGTACTCACGCGCCCTAGAGGTGTCGTAGTTAACACACCCCAAAACCTGCGAGTATCATCGCACACGTTTGACACCAGCTGTCACACCAATTGTGGCTTCTGTACAGGAACCAATGACGCGGAAAGTCCCATGCTCCATCCTCTGTTCGACCACGATGATTCGGGACAGAGGCATGCTCTCTGTTGGGACTGCACCCCATTGGGGTCAGAGGGATCACGCGTACGGGTACTGGATGTTGGTGTCAGGTAGCTTATAGATCTCAGGAAGTTGCAGAAAGAATTGTTTTTGGAGAAAGATTCCCTTGATCCCTCTGTAAACAATATTGTCTCGGCACCAGAGCTCACTCGGCAAGGATATCCCGGCATCATCTCCACTTGTGTTGACAAGCACATGTCAAGTTCCTATTCTGCCTATGGCGGGGACTTCCTGAATTGAGAGAACGTCATACTCGTGGCCATATGGCCGTGTGTAGCATTAATTCGCAAAATGCAAAAGCGAGTCTCCATAAATATATACACTACAACATCACGAAATCCAAAGGGAACATCTAGGTCGGGACTTCTGTGGGGATATCCCCTGCCCTGAGTTCGTGATTGACCGTTGGGAAGATCATAAACTATGGTAGAAGAACAGAGAGACAATTTGAGGAAAAATGATTCTTTACTTGAGGTATTTACCATGACCACTACACCACTGCGTCATTTTCTTTGACTAACATCTACCATATACCCCCCCCCCCCCGCCTCTCCTCCTTATGTTTCCTAGAGTTTACATCCTATCTCATTACTACAGAGGGGTTTAACTATTATGCTTTCTCACCTGCGTTTGCTGTGGTGGTACATTTATACTGTGCCCATTTAGCTTTTGAAAGATCAGAATATGCATGCGCAGTGCGTATATCCTATGTACCGGTGTCAAGCATATCGCCAAAAGCGGCTTTGCACAAGTGACGGTATAATAGCATATATCTTGCCACCTTATGCCGTCAGGAAGAAAACTCCTTAGGGCCTGCCTTCCTATTACTACGAACTTGTATGAGGGAACAGTTTTTATTGATTCATTTGACTTCAGCTTTCATGGTTGAATCCTATGTGGTACAGGCAAACCTCTATAATAGCATCCTCTATAATTGCATAACTTGGCTATTAGCATAGTAGGTACCTCTCGTCCCGAGTTTAGGACTATGGCGAAAATAGCATAACGCTGTAATAGCATGCATAGCATTTTACCGGTCCCAATCCTGCCAAGTGCTAACAATATACCCCTGCATATCTACCTACAATAGTAGCATGGGGGCGGACCCAACTGATGAGAAATTATTGAAGATATTGAAGAAGTTACTCTAGATCGTCTGTTAGTACCATACCGCCCTCCTATACCAACGGCAGATGATGAAAATAACTCAGAACCTCACGTTTAATTCCCACATGCGATCTCCGAGAAACTCAAGCTCTATGTCCAATAACAATGGGATCCGGGAATGCTTAGTCTTGCATTTGAGGTGGTACCAGATGAGACTGCCATAGCGGTACAGCAAGATCTCCATAATCCTGAGCGCCGCTTGGCTACTCTGCAACTTCGGAAACCCCAACGGCAAACTCCAATCACATCTTATTTTCGAGGTAGCGGAGAGAGTGGAAGTAGCGGGGAGAGTGGAGGTAGTGGAGGTAGTGGAAGTAGTGGGGCACCAGGGGGAGCGGGAAAAGTGAAGATTTTCGACATTATATTACCATATTCACGTGATGCCAAGAAAAACCTCTATAAATGCATCACTCCTCTAATAGCATAGAACCCCCGGGTCCCGACGTTATGCTATTATAGAGGTTTGCCTGTATGGTACCCGCACTCGGAGGCACTTGTGTCAGCTTTGCCGTTCTGTGAAGCCAGTATTTCTGGTGCTCTTTCACCGTCCCAAGCCATGTGTATGCTGATGGGTCATGTCAATCTTCTGACTCCGAACCTAAGTGTCCGCCATACCTAGTTCTGCAGTAGTGGCACTTCCTGTAATCACGGCTTGCAGCTCGTCCTCATAACTTTTTATGATGAGTATGAGATACTTGCCAGTACAGCTTTCACATTCGCCAATGGCAGTGGTCGTTGTGGGTCGCTCTGAGTCCCACGTTTGGATCTTTGCTAATTCCTTAAATGGTCCAGTTTCTGTGTAATACTGCAAATGTTTAGATGGCCATAGTAGGCTACATATGGGTTTCATATGAGAAGGCCCTTTCTAAGTCAGTGGTTGTTTATCTCTGATGGAAAATACACACGTGGATGCATACCTCGTGGAATCCAGTCTCATGCTTTCCCAACAGTCAAGATCAAGGCATATGAAGTCTCATTAACGGAATGCACCTTAATGTTGACCCCTTGCCCTCGAGTCAATTGTACTCCTGTGGATAAACAAAATCAGTTTGCGGTGTAAACCCAATTCACTAAATGCTTGAATACAGTTATCGCTATCGGTCAGGCTACTAGGTATGCTGGATGCCAGGAATATATTGAATTGATCATATGAAATCCTAACAGAAACCCCAACTATTCACACTGTGATACCCATCACTACACCACCATTATCAACATATCCCATCCCATCTCAAATGAATTGAGTACTTGAAAAGACAGAGAAAATGCCACGCTCCTCGATGGACTGTTCAAATTGTTTGTCCCTGATCTGCGGTTAGCAAGTGGGTAATAGAAATCAGTAGTACCTCTCATACCTAGGGGAGGCTCGGATCTTGAGCTGTGCCTTAACAGGGGCATCCGCATCTCCCACACCTGGGAAGCTTGTCCGCCACAGGGAAGCAGCAGTGGGAGCAGTACTTGACGGAGTCAACGACGATGGTTTGCTTGATCTGAGTGACAGCCATTGCTGATAGAGATTGAATTCAGATTGGTAGGTTTTTTGAGGCTTGAATATGAAAAGACTTGGGGTCGGTGGAAACAGTTTGCGAGTGGAGGGTTCGTTTCCTGGTGCGGAGGGGTAAGTAGGCTGAGTTTGGTAGTCTGGTTGGCACTGAGGTTGGGAAGAATCAAGCCAGTCTAGGGGACGAATGACTACTTAAGTTCAGTGTACCAGTACGACGTAATCCCCCCTATCTCCCTCCATCTATATATAGTACTCTAGGTATCTGATGGCCTCTGCAGATCTATCTGTACGGGAATCCTCGCTCCGTCCCCCAAAAATTGCAAAACAAAATATAAGTAATGGCTCAGCTGGGGTTTGAACCCAGGTTCTCTTGCCCGTTGCCTGTATCCAGGATGATACTACATAGCAAGCGTCATACCGCTAGACCACTGCGCCTGTTTTGATGGCTAATATCTACCATATACCCCTCTTGTGTTGGCTAAATTTACATTCCCATCTCATTACATCGTACAGTTGGGACAGTGATTGTGGTCATATCTTGTTTCGCGCCGAGGGCCAACTAAAGCTAGAATCCTGTACCACTTTGGCAGCCTTGTTGACCTGAGTCTCATACCATCAACCCAAAGATCCCCAAGTTGACAGTACCTATCCGCCATCTCGCAGGGATGATGTTCAACTCCACCGGCCAAGCCAGCATCAGCCAAACTGGCCAGTCCTTAAGTAACTTCCAAAGCAGGGATTTGGCAATGTTATGTTGTGGGGGTATTAGTCTACTTTGGAAGGAACATCTCGGTTACCAAGATCAACCAATGGAAGGCCATGCTCGCACGCTGCAAGATTGACAATGAATTACTCAACTTGATATGTACTTGCCGTTGCCCGACCCAGACTGCGTCTTCCACGTCGGCGACATTGTAACATTGAGGAGATTCACGAGTTTACCTTAGGTTGTTTTTACATGCTGAAGCTATGCACTGGAGCGCAAGCCCTAAATTAAATCGGCTAAGGCCTGAGTGCTCTTACGGGGCTGTGGCTGTGATGCTCTTCCAAGGAACGCTGGGCTGTGGTCCATGGTGATGCACGTAGGAGGGTGTGATATGTGTGAGGCTAGTCTGGTTGGTGTGAGGCACGTATTGCTTTAGACTAGGCTAGGATACAAGATGTTGCGTGAAGAATAGTCTCGCGTGAAGAGAAAGAATATATGATAGGGAAAATGGAGATCCTTTTATAAGAATCTCCTTTGAGTCATGATCTCATAACTAGGTTTGTTGGTGATAGCATGATTCCCTTATACCGTATTAATTCGCGAGTAAGAATGCTGTCTTACTAACAAACGGGCGGTCGGATGGGCCATAAATTTACTGTCTTATATACGATACTAGCTTAAACACGGGGTACTTTCTTATAAAAGAAATTTCCCTGGAAAAAAAAATATTTCCGGAACAACACTGACAGTAGCATATTGCGTAGCCTCTTCTTCAGAAATGTAATCTCCATGCTCATTATCACTTCCATCCGCTTCCTCCTCACCATCCACAATCTCAAGGTCAGAACTTTCATCCTCCATGTCTGTTGGCAGGTCTGGTTGGTCTTCAGACTTAGGAGGTAGTTGCCAATCAGGGACAGTATAGTTCGAGATTCCTTCAATATGGATCTCCGAATCTGCTGTGCCATCGATTGGGACAGTAATTCCACATTTGCGAAATGAGCGAGTCTAAGGGGTGATAGCTAAAAACCCCCACTTCCAACAGTACTCTCTCACGGTCGTGGAGGATAAGAATTGGCTGGTGGTTTGCGCACTGGGTCCAGCACACAGTGGAATTGACATTGTAACAAGTGATGGTGATGAGTGAAAGAACTCGACTGCGCCAGCCAACGCCGACAGACATTTCTATACTACTGTCCTATAAGAAAGATTTCCTGTCTAATACACGATTCGGATATCTCGGCCAAAATTAGGCTGTTTTACCCCTGTCTTATATACTAATACTGTCCTGCCGAGTAGTACTTTCTTACTCGCGAATTAATACGGTATTTTTGTGAATAGCATATGAATAACTATAAGGACTTGTTGAGCCATGACAAGTGCAGAGATTTTGTTTGTGGAGAGAGGGTAGTGTTAGTAGGCCCACAATTAATTTCTAGTTTTGTCTACTTTTGAATTTAAAGCTAATAGATTTTGTTACTTTGCAAGCAACATAACTTGTACCTTAGGAACTCATGGGAAAGACTATGCCCACAAGTTTCATCTGGAGTTTCTATTTTTTTTTTGGCAAAGGAATCATTAGTCTTCCCAGTAGAAACCCAGGAATGCTTAGTGGCTATATCTGTTGGAAAGCACATCCGGCACACCCGCGCTCCGGATCACCCGTTACCCTGAATTATCAGGATATCCGGCGGTCATCTATCAACGTCATCTCTCTACCTATGTTATTATTATCGCGCGCACTGATAATATCATTGCTATATCATCGCATGCGTATTTCTTGGGTTCATCATGGTGATCGTTGTCGCTCGCTCATTTCTGATTTTTTCCTACAATCCCTGCGCGCTGTCTTACCCTGAACTTCCGGGTATATAGACACCGCTCCGGAACTGTATTTCATCAATAATGAAGCAAGTCTTCAATTCGCATCGTTCTCACTCGCATTGTTATTCCCTGAGTTCTATTATCTACTCCGCGTATTACCATCCGCTCCTGTAGGCATATTACCAGACATCTGTGTTGCACCCGTGCTCGCCGCCGCCGCCCCCGCCGCCGCTTCGCTAAAACCACTTCCGCTGCCTAACAAAGATATCCACATATCTTTTGTTAATATCGACTTGGGTTGGAGGCTATATTGTGAACTTTGGCCTCTAAAAGCCTGGTACAAGCAACTACCACAGAAATAACTACCGTTTAATAGGTATCTGTATATCCCGGTCCTAGTCTATGGGCACTGAAAGCCTGGATTTGACATAACCTAAACTCCAGTGATATTACACAGCAAATCTACCAAACTGCCAATGTCTTGTTAAGTCCTTGCGCACACCATAACTGACCGCGATTAGGTATGTCTGACTTCGGAACGTCCACCTGCTAAAAAGGTATCATTCGTGTCTTTGACTAGGGCATTAAGGTATTTAGAGACGTTATGTTTCAAGTGTGTTGCCCTCTGTGGGGTGGGAAATGCCGGAAGAGGAAACAGAGGCTAGGGAAGGGGAAATGTACATAATGAGATGTGGTGGACAACCTCTGTAGAAAAGACACCCTACTCTTTGCTGAACTATCGTCTCCATAAACTGGCGGTACTGGAAAGTCTGAAGAGAAACGAGGGTCCGTATTCGTTTCGTCCTGTCGTCGTCTCGTGCTCTTACGTCTCCGATAAACCGTATTGCTTGCAGTTAACCCTTTTTGTTGTCCTACGTTCGCTACCGTTGGCAAGCCTGACGTATACGTGCAGTCATAGTCACAGCTCGTGAACACTACCCTGAATCTTTACCTACTTCCCTCTTATTGCTACTCTTATTGCTATACTTCAACGTCCTCCCTTATTCTGACACCGGTTCCCGACTGGCATACGGCAACATCTTCAGAAATGGTTGACATGGATTCACCCGCATCGAGAGCAGATTGGCTGAAAAGTGAAACAGGGTGTGGCGTACTTTTCGAAACACAGTAGTCCTGCGAGATAGGTCAATGTCCCCGCTGGTTGGAAAGAGAGGAAACTATTCTGGAGGAATCGCAAAGCTTGAGAACTGGAGTTGAGCCACCTAGAACTTGATAGGAGATATGGTCAGATCTCTATCGACTGGCAAAGACACCACTTGCGGAAAAAACAAAACCTCGGGAAAGCGGAGCGGTGAGAGAAGCTGCACGTACGGAGACTTCGTTGGTGAACGTAGACACCCTGGGTGAACAAACGGAACAAGTTCAAAAACAAAAACCGAAAATGTCTGCGGATGGGGGATACATTCGTCCCTTTGAAGGATTAAATGACGGAAAGGAAAATATCAAGATATTTCTTGACGATGTGGAATTTCTCGCTGAATGTCATGATCAGAAAACTCCAGCCTCAGCTAAGGCTATGCTCCAAGTATTTCGCCGATTTTTGAAAGGAGACGCATATGCGTATTGGTATTCCCTGGAGGAGGATATACAAAGTGATTGGGATAGGCTGAAGCCTGACGGCTGCGTTTACAGACAAGTTTGCTGTCAGCAAATCAATATCGGCCACACAACGTATGCATATCAAAAACCAATTGATGTCCTTGAGGCAAGGATCTAAACACATCTGAGAATACATCAGAGAAGCCCAAGGTTTAACATTGAAATTTCCTAAGGAACTGGCCAGCCTGGCTTGAACTGCATCCAAGACCATCCTCGGTGATTCAACTCCCGCAATCTGGCTTACTAGCTCCCTTCTCGCCCCATGAGTTGCATTGACACACTTCTTCAGGGCTGTATATTGGAATTTCTTGAATTCCTCTTCCCAAGCTCTTTGTCCTCTCCATGCCAACTCCATTCCCCATAAAGCCACCGCTCTAATCATCCCCGTGTAGGCTGCCCTCCAACTGCTAGCACTCGTCCCAATTAGAATTACCCAACCCACGGGCCACAAGTCCTTGGCATAAACATACCACCGCATTCGAAAGTCTGAAATATTGTCGTAATCCAATTATCTAGAGTTTCCACCACTGTTCGCCTGGTAGCGAAAGCATATATAATATATATGGAAGTCCGGATCTTCGTTAGTCACAGGCTGGCGTAAACTTAGTGGAACCCACGCAAATATAGACAATGCACCTTTGACCAACCCACACTCAACCATCACAAAGTGAACCGAAGCCTCACACATTGGGTCGCATTCCAAGCATGTGCATGCGTCATCTGCGTGCGGAATATCCTCCCTGTTAATCTCCGTGACCGCCAGTCTTCTTGTGGGATCCATTTCGTGTTTGTCTGGCCTCTCTGGCTTCCGTATGGTGGACCCGGCCGATTGTGGCCTGTCCTCTGACACCACCTTTAGTAACTTCCAGACTGAGAATTTCTGGAAGGTCTTTCGGAAAACAGGATTCGCACAAGCGGATGCGGTCGACATTATGCGCAAAATATTGACACTCTATTACTCTAACTCGCGGCCCGATTGCGCAGCCCTCTTCATAGCCATCTGCAATGCCTGCCGTAATTGTGGCGAATATAGAAAATATAAACAATCCATAGGGTAGATGTATCCGTCATGAGACAATAACGTAGGTGGGCTTTGTAGCTCTAATATCACCTTTCTGCAATCAATGCACATTGGTGTGTGACACAAGGCGCAGCTGCTCATATAATCCATACAGATGGGAATTGGCTTGCATAGTAGGCCGACAGTGGTTGTAAGGATAGAGCGGAGGCTGTGGCATGTCCGCGCTAAGCTGATGATGGCTGTAGGACAGTATGGATTCCAGGA